CAGTTATATGCTTTGCATATTCATTAGGAGCTCAGTTTAGGTGCTGAAATGTGCACCTCTCTTGTATTAGAGGCAGGTTGTCCCTATAGCATAGTGGTTTTTTTGTGTTTTTTTTGTGTTTTGTTTTTTTTTTAATTTATTTTTTGTCTCAGGGCCAGCAGTCACCCTACAGACTTGTACAACTTAATTAGGTTAACAAGAAGGATCAGGAAAATATACTGATCAGTTGCAGATCTCAACAGGTACACTTTAGATTTCCTCCATCAACTTTGGCTCAGTACAATTGTGCCAGCTCAAGCAAATTGAAGAAGCTTAAATCAACCTTTTGCCTATCCTGTGAGAGCATCTTGGACTGGGAGTGATCTCATGTGTCACATATATTAGCTTCTGCAACACTCAGACCCAGGAGATTGCTGTAATCACTTTCTCACTGCTGTTTCTTGGCTTCATGTATTTAAATCAACCCTGGAACATTATACGATTGAACCTTCTTTTAGCTTAATCAGTTTCAAATATTCATTTGTCTTTCTTCTCTGACTGTCTTTCTGTGCCTACTTATCACCTGAGCTGAAGCCAAGACCAAGTTCTCAGCTGTACATATCTCACAAATGAGCTTGTGTAAAAGAAAAAGGAGAGAGAGCGAGAGAGAAAGAGCTCCAGTGGTCTGTGTGAGGATTAAGGATTACTCTAACAGCATTGAATTTACAGGAGCTTGAAAATGTGGGGGAGATCTGATTCAGGAAAAAAAATATGATAATTTGTGGCCAGAGGGAATCAGCGAGGGCTTTAGCCAAATTGGAAATTACCTTTTGGTGCTCCTTTACTACAATTCCCGTAACTCCAATTACAGTAATACACTCAGTTGTTTAACTCTCGTCTTATAACACCAGGCCTTGTGCATGACTTAATCCATCCAACACCTCTTAATGAACTCATTATTCTTATGATGCCTAACTACGCACGGAGGCTTGCTCTAATTTGAGGACCAGTGTTGAATAAATATATATTTAGGAGACGAGGGGAGCTATTACAGCTACACAAATACAAAACTTTATCCTTGGGGGGATAAGTACATGCCATCCAGGTGGCAACAGCTAACTTAGTAGGAGGAAATGATGCACAGGGCGATATTGGGGTGACAAAGAGACTTGGGCGTTTGGGGTATGAGGCAAAACTGAATATTCTGTTTGACCTGGGCTGAGCTACAAGTACCCAAAAACTCTGAGCTCACACACTGTGTACTAAGCTCTCTGGGACTTCCTAATATTTATTTGAGCTTGAGCCAGCTAGGCAGTAAAGCTGAGCAGAAAATGTGTTGTTGTTTTTTTTTTTTTCTTTCCTCTGTTTTTTGTTCTTAAGTACCTATATCCTGAGGTTCCATCAGAAGGCCCCAAAGGAGGTAAATTGTTTTGAGCTCTAAATTTGTCTTACCAACAGGAGTACATTGTTTTGCCATGTTTCCAGGAGCACCATTGTACCCTCTCCTTCAGTGTATAACAAAAATTGTAGTGTTACCATGTGTTTTGTACCCAAACTCTGCCTATGAAGCCAGAACTGAGGTGCTGGAGGGGAAGCTGTGATCGTGCACTAGCTCTGGTCCACGCTGTGTGGATATTGAATGCTGTGCCTCCATGGTGCCTTTGATTCTGAGAGGAGGTTCATTTTTTTTCAATGAAAACAGGTTTTGTTTGTTTGTTTGTTTGTTTTCTAGAGAAATCTATTTTTTTTTTTTAGTGAAGATCATCACTTACTCAGTGATGTGAGGTTATTTTTCTCCAGGGAATGACCCACGTGATCCATCTCGGTCTCTACTAGATTGAATCTGGATTAAGCTCTGTAGTTCTCTCATACTTCCTTTCCTTTAGGACTCACTTCCACAATACATGGGCTTTTCCTCTTTATGAACAGACTCTACATTGGGTCCCTTCTATCCATGTACTACCCTGCAGTTCTCAATTATTTTCTGTTTCCCCAAAAAAGAGGATTGCTGCCACTCATCTTGGAGTCTTCACACCTTGGCTCCTGGGAGGTATTCTCACAATCTCCTGCCCATCAGAACTGTTAGATTTTCTAAGAAGTTCAAAACAAGAAAAAAACAAAACAAAACAAACAAACAAACAAACACAAACTTTGGCCCACAGCTTCAAAGTGTTTCTTTCTGAAGGTCTCTCCCACCCTTGAAGAGCAGCCGGTAGAGCCGCTGCAGGATCTGCAGCCTCTGACAGCCTCCTCCTTGCCCTCGCCCTCTGCTCTGCTTTCAACCAGTTCAGACTTTCTTTTCTTTTTTTCTGAAATCCCCTGCTGCTGGATGGCAGCAGAACAGATGCTACAGAATTATGTTTTAAATCTATCTTTAGTCCCAGGCAAAACTCAATATTCAGGGGCATGGTTGGGTCAAAATTATTTCTTCATGGCCTTTGGGTATTCATTAAATACATACAGCTCTGGCATTATTATCCCTTTTCAGTGATGTTATATTACTTTCAATAATAGCTACAATTTAGAAAGTGCAGATCCACCAAAGCAAAAACATACAATAAAAGGTTATAGCTAAACTGCAGCTCCATGAAGTTAAGGGGTAAAAAAGGCAGAGACTTTAAGGTTGCATTAAGCTACATGGTACGTGGGAGTTTCAGTACATAGGTCCTAATTCTGGAGAGCATTCAACCTCTGAAAGCCTACACCCATTCCTCACACAGACACCAGCTCAACATGGTATTGTTTTTTTTTTATTAAAATATAAGCCTGTTTCCCTCGTTGGGGTCTATTAACTTCCGCATGTTAAACACATGCTCAAGCTTTGTTCAGGACAAGGATGCTTAGGGTGTTTTCTAAGTAAAACCCCAAATAAAATGACCGAAGTTTCCAGCTGGTCACAAGAAAAGCAGCACAAATACAAAAAGGTGAAATTATTAAAACATTCAAAGCGCTCAATCCACTTCTTTAAGTGAAATCAATACTATTTTGAAGCAGTGAAAATTGATGTAAAACTGCACTGAACTTCGAATTTCCCATTCTGGAGTGGGTGTTTAAACACCCCTGTGATTAATACCTTCTTGACTGCCCAGCCAGATGGATGCTGATGGAAGACAGAAATATAATAGCCATGTAAATAAAAATGTCTTTACTAAAGGCCCTACCAAGGCCGGGAAATTTCCTGGCCTGAAAGAAAAGCAGCAAAGCTTAATGGGGGAAAAAAAGTAATTGTCATATGAGTATTTGTAGAGATGAGGCTCAGCAAAAACTGCTGAATAGTCAGGAATTTGCGGGAAGCTTGGTTGCATATCCAAAATAGTGTTATCCAACATTAATTAAAACCATAGGTTATTTTACGGGGCTGCTGACAGAGCTCCCGTGAAACAAAATGCTGGTCATCTGGACAGAGGCAATGGGGCACCGGAGAAGCTACTCAATATCACTTAGACCTCATATGCCAGTTTCCTGATATTGTCATTCATCTTTTATTGCTTTGGGGACTGGCACGGGCTTCGTGCCATTCAGCTCAGCGATACCTGTGTGCACATGCTCATCCGCCAGGGTGAAATTCAGCTCACTTCCTAACAACTCAGCGAGGGTGAGCTGTTTCCACCAGACTCAGAGCACCCACTCCAAGTGAGGACTGTGCCTGTCACCTTCACAAGCTCACTTCGTTGTTCTCACAAGAGACCTGCGGCTCGATGCTGGCTGAGTTACCCCTGTGCAGACAGGAGAGGCCCAGGCGTGCAGCCCAGCAGGCACACAGGGACCAGAAGCAGCGCCGACACAGGGCCCTGCCTGCAGACTGAACAACCGGCTGTTAAAATACATCAGCCTGATTTTGCAAGCCAGCCTCTAGGCTAAAACACGTGTGAGGGAGTGCAGATGGACTTCGGCACTTACCGGGCAAGCACGAGAGACGGGCAGCTCAACAAAGGGAACCTGCCTGCAGACAGGGTAAAACATATCAAACCCGCCTTCTGCTCTCTCGATACTGCCAGCTTTTGCTGCCCATCAGTTACATTTTCCAGCAAGCTTTCTCCTTCTGTTTTGGCACGTTACCAGCGCTGCCCATGGGAGGAATGCAAAAGGCTGTTGTTCTCTTCCAAATATCTCATTACAATTCACCTATGACGAGACGCCTACAAATCGCTTGCTAACAGCAGGGCAGGTTGTGCTGTGACAGCCACTCGCCACCCCAGCCAGGACTGCTTCACCTGCCCCATGCTCCCCGTCCCCACCGCCCCTGCCCGTTTTGCTGGCCTCGACTGAAGATGCTGCGTTAGTGCAGTTATGTGCACAGCTTAACGCGGCACAGCCCCGACCCGTGAGGAGCCATTAGAGGCTACAGCAGTATAAATAATACATAAATCATTCATAACAATCAATAGCTAAATTCCTCAAATGCTTTATTTCCAATGAATAATTCCACCAGTTCAAGTTGTCAGGCATGGCAGCGGGCAAAAAAAGCTGCAAGCGGCTCTGAAAACTTCCCAAATTGTGGCTTCCCGCAGTTCTTTTACCTATGGTAGCTTTTGACGGGCTTTCAAAAGCAGATGAAGAATACAGGAAATCCACAGGCAGCGTGGCTTTGGTGCAGTGCTGACAGCCCGCACTGGAGTCAGGAATGGCATGAATAACAGAGAAAATGAGTTGGCAAAGATAAAACGATTTCCCCAAAACTGAAGAGAAGGAGATACACACAGAAGAGAAAAGGGTAGACACCAGGGGAGTTAAACATCCAGGATATACATGTGCCTCCTGAGGTTTACATGCTACTTCTTGCAGCTTCAGAAAGGTATCAGGGGAGACTGAGATTATACTAAGAGATTTGGAGGGGGGTTATTATTTTATTTTTTCTCCTCAAATCCTATAATCTGATACTGTATAAAAACCCTTCAAGCTGTGGTTTCAGGACAAACTATAGCCAACATATAGAAGTGTGTCGTGGCCTGCAGGGCACCAGCAGTGTCTCATGGCTCCCAGCCCAACAGGGAGCACCTGCCAGGCCACAACAAACTCACCCGCAGAGGGAGGAGGCTGCAGCTTCCAAGGTCCTGCCGTGGTCAGAGCCCTTCTCCTGCTCAGTCTGGTTCGCGTGACGACACCTTTGCTCATCCAGCCTCATTCATGGGGCAGACACCTTGGTGCTCTGACCATTCGCAGCTTTTTCTGGAGTTAAGCCGGCTCCAAGGCTGTGATAAGTCACCGACCTGCTGTGGCCAGAAAGAGCTTTTGTGTTTGGATTATGAAGAGCAGCACAATGCAATGCAGTCCCCGCCGGGAGCCCTCGCTTTAGGTATCAGGGAGCAGCAAATCCAATCCGGACAAACTTCTGCACTGGCATAGCATCAGTTCTTGACCTTGCCACTACACAAATGCTTCCTAAATGCTAATTAAGCCCTGCAGCTCCTCTGAATGGTGGGTAAAGAAGCACATGTATATTCTTCTACCAAGAGAGCTTGAGACACTCACAGCTTGAATAATTTGGCTAAGGTGACACTGTGAGCCTGTGGCAGACACAGCGTCTCCTGCTGCCGGTGCCTCATCTGCTACCTTCGTGTTTTGGTCCATACCCATAAAACCACTACATTAGTAAGAAATTAGTAAGAAAAGGCTTCTCCTCAGCACATTGCCATTTGTTTCTGAGGCCAGTCACACCTATTCAGAAGTACCTAGCTTTAACAGACGTGGTTTCGTTGTTTTGCTGGACAGGGGTTGTTTTCTTTTTTTTTCCTGGAAAATCAGAGCTGGCCAATGCAGTCAGTTTCTGGAAATGGGATATAGTACGAAAACTTTTTTTTTTTTTTTTTTTTTTTTTTTTTGGAGTGATACAAGTTCTTTGTGATGCTCATGCTTGCTGGTCACAGCCTTATTAGAAAAATTGCTAAGGATTTGGCAACTGCGTTTCAGTTCAAAGCCTCTCATTTATCTGCCTCTGCCTGCCAGCACGGTGACACTCCATCACTTCTGGGAGCCCCTGACACCTCCTATTGACTAAGTGCCACCCCCGCTGCAGCCACTCCAGAGAGAGTGGTGACAAGCATCCTTTACCCGCAGATGGACCACAGAAGCCACATAGTCACGGTACCTCTTTTGCAACACCAAAGAAGTTTCTGTAACGATTTCAACAAGCAGTGCTTGCAGAGGCCATTTTTTCAGTCGGGAAGACATCATCCACAGTGCAAGCAGAACAGGGTCTCGGTGAGCAGGCACTGCCATCCTGCTCTGACCTACACAAAGCTAAATTAAGCCTACCTACTGGCCTTCTCACAACACTGGTGTGACCCCACATATGTTAACACTGACGCCTCCACCGTATGCCCTCCTCTATTTATTCCTGTGCATCTTGGGGAAACCCAAGCAGTTGTTCCTTAGCAGTTCCTCATCTGATTGCAATGCTTAGGTCTAAAAGCAATGAGATGAATTGCAGTCTAAAAGTGGCTACATTTTTTTTTTTTTTTGCTCGTTGACTGCACAGGGAGCCTAAAGGATCAGTGCAGATGCAGATGTCTGACCTGTGTGCCCACATGGAGTGCTGCGCAGAGACATCAGCCTGTGTCCCTGTCACCAGGTGAGGCGCATTAACTCTGACTGCCCAAATTAACACAGCGTGCATTGCAAAGAACAGGTTAATTGTCCAGCCACATGAATGAGGAAGCACAACCCCCAGGAACCAAGCAAGGGGGTCCCAGCTAGACAAGCCCAAAAGAAGCAGCTTCAGGCCAAGGCCACGCTGTGCCCCAGCAAGAGCTCCTGCCTCCCACTCACCTTTTTCGTCACTAAACCACATTTTCTATATAACTGCACCAATCACCTCTGCCAGGCTTCTACCATTCATCCATCACCCATCAACAGTCTGCTCTGATTTCTGAAGTACTTTTAATCTTCTCTGACACCCATAATTTCCACATTACCCCTTTACTGAGGCAATTAAATCTGCTTCCAATACATTCTTGTAGGCTTTAAATTTATATTTTTAGTACTAGTTTTCCAACTGCCCTGGTTCCTTCACAGTTGCAGCACTTAATTCATGTTTATGTCCAGCTCACATGGCACCCTCACCACTGGGGTTATTTCCCTCAGCCACATCTCCCTGCAGAATCCAGACTGCAGCCCAGTCTCGCTTTGCACCTCCACCACAATAAACATTGAAGTGCTTGACCAAAACTGGGATGATTCATTTGAATTTGATGGTTTATGTGTGTTCTATGACGTTTTACAAGAATTATTAAAAAAAATAAAAATAAAAATCCTATGATGGTTATAGTTCTTCTCATTATAATGCATGCAAATTCATAATCCAGTGAGTGTGAAAAATACACAGATAGGGAGAGAGAAAAATCCTAATGAAAAACTCAACAGAGCATGCAATGTCTGTCTAGTGTTTTTAAAAAGTTGTCCATCTTTATGGTCTTCAGAACCACTTATAGTTTATAGCAGAACAGGTCAGTGAATGCTTTTTCTTGCATGATTTGGATAATAAAAATAAAGCTAACATGGAAGTTTATCTCTGCTGGAGTGGGCTGTCACAACAGAGCTTGGACCTCCCCAGCAGAAGGCAGCCCCACCCGGCTGCTTCTCCTTGCCCTGTGAGTGCAGGGCCCTGTGAGTGCAGGGCATTGGCACAGAGCAGCCAAAAATGCTCGATTGTGCAGGGAAGCTCCAGCAAAATTCCTTTACTGTCCCCCATTTGCACTCATAGCTGCTAACCCCCACCTTGGGATTGCTGGGCACAAACACTTGCTGCCTGTTCGCCAGCAGCAGAGCTGCAGCTGCGGTTCCCCAGCCCCAGCCATCCATCAGGCTGTTATTACCACCGTAAACACCGCATTTGTCAACAGCTAATGTTTTGCACAATCAGGGTGTGATGGATTAGGCTTTATTTGAAAGGAAGGGTCAGGCTTATGAGGATTAGATCAGCGTGGCTTGCGAGAGTCCCATGGGTGCTGCCTGGTCATGACAATGTCCCGGTCCAGCAGTTATTTTCCCATCTGTAGGACAGTGTCCAAATCCCTCAGGGAATAGTTCTGAAGCCACTTTCAAACGTGGCTGTGAGGGATGTTTATCAAAAAATATGGCTATTTGACATTTATGCAATGCTACCACTGCTGGACCCTAAAGCAGCGTGTAATAATTCCCAACAGCCAGCCACCATAAGCTACACGAGCGGGACCAGCCACACCACAGCACCTCATTTCTATCCACCCTCAGCTTCTGACATCAGGCACAGAGCTCTGGGAGAAAAAGGGAAACAAAATGTGCAAACCTTACTTCTGCTGAGCATCAGAGCAGATTTCCTGATCACACCCAGCAGCGCTGTGTGTCTGCTGAACACAGGGGGTGAGGTTCTCCCCTCGGTCTGTCTGCAAAGACCCATGCTTAGGGAGATCGAGGGGGCCTTGCTGATGCTCAGCACTCCTCATACTGCACGTTTGCCCCCAGAATGTTTTGTCAGACAAAGCAGGGGGTGCTGAGTGCCTGTGTGCTCCTGCTCCATGGCAGAGCTCAGCTCCATGGGTCAAGTTTTTTCCCAGCACGGACGTCTTCTCAGGTCCTGGGGCAGAGCTGATGCATGGCTCTGTTCTTACATGGGCTGTAATGGGTCTTTTACAGAGAGGCAGATCTACTGAAGTCAGTGTTTTTGTGGGTTTATGATCATTTTTTGGTGCAATAAAATCATGGGGAAAGCCACAAGTCTCACCCAGACTCTCTACCAAACTCACATTTTTTGACTCAGAGGAAATGTGAAATCTGGCTTACAAAAGGGACTTGTCTGAAACCACACCTGTGTTACTCACAACACATCAACACATCTCATCTGCCTTCTGCTTTGATTTTATTTGCAGAGCTCTGCTGGCAACTTCCTTTTTTTTTTTTTTTTTTTTTTTTTCCAGGCTGGATGGGGCTGGGGGCAGCCTGGGCTGGGAGCAGAGGTTCCTGCCCTGTGGCAGAGGGGTGGAATTAGATTGGCTTTAAGGTCCCTTCCCTCCCAAACCATTCTGTGTTTTATGATACCTTGGCAGCTTCATTACCCACAGCTGGCTCCCTGGGTTCCTCCCTGCATTGCATTTACCCTCTTCTCTGCTCCACAACTCCAGTTCCCTATAGCTAGAAGAGCTACCAGCTGTGGATACTGAGCTAAGAGAAGGCAGATTCACAGCAAAAACAAGCAAAAAAAAAAAAAAATCAAGCAAAAATGGAGTTACATTAATTCTTCTTTACCTCAGCTGGTGGCTGTGGCAGGAGGGGAGTGTGGAAGCCAGCAAGCAGCACAGCCCATTTTGGCCTCCTGTCCTCGGCTGGCGGGCCAGGTTTCCTCCCATCGAGGGCTCAGGGAGTGTTTGAAAGATCCCAAGCAAAGCTGCTCTGGCAGAGCACGATTGCTGCCGCAAGTGCCTGTCCCTGCCCAGGGGCAGGGCCGCACGCTCGGGCAATGGCCTGGACGCGCTGCCCGCGCCTGTGCCAGAGCCTGCACAGTGCGGCTGGCTGCGGTGCGTGGGACGGGGAGTGCACAGGCTGTATGACACCTCCCCAGCAGCAGCCCGCCCTTCGTGGAGCAGCAGGAGCTGCACGGACATCTCACACCATGGCCATCCCCACTCCAGCCCCGTGCCATGCATCCCTCGGCCTTGCAGGGCTTCAGCTTCCCCTGCACAGGCCCAAACGCGAGGGTTTGGGGAGCATCTATTGCTGCTAGAGCATGGCAGGTGGGGATTCGTCACACCATCCCATAGCAGCCAAACCAGACCTTTTAATCATTTCCCACAACTAACAAGAATGCTTTTACTAGGTATTAGGTGAACACTGATGCTGTCTTTTTTAAATTGGATCGGTGATATTTAGCAGCCCGTTGTTATTTAGAACCAAGGGTTGCTATATTAGTATTGTCATCTTGTCATCAATTAGCTTTTAATTAACATGAATTAAATCTTTCTTTTTTTTTTTCCCCCTAACTGGGGAGGGGGAAGAGCAGAGTAAACAGCAGGTGTATGCAAAGTGGCTCCAGCCACAGTTTCATGGAGCAAACTGTGAGCCACCAAACACTGGAGGCACTTCCCAATGCACACAGTAACCTTTAGGCACATGAGGAGCTGAATTAATTTCTAGTGCCCTCTCTACAGATTTGACTTAGAGCCACTGCTTGGAGCTGGGATTCCCCCTCTCCCCCCAGCGCAGCCAGGCCAGAGAGCCACTGAGCAGTGGGGTTTGTGCACTTCGCTTGTGCAGCTGACTTACGAAGTTTGGGTGGGGAAGTCTATCTAGAAAGGGAAAGTCTACTCTGATGTGAGTAAAACAAGCACTGAAAAAACAGTATGTCTGGGGAGGCATTGCTGTTGGTTGCTTTTTTTGTTCGTTTGTTTTGTTGTTGCATTTTATGCTCAGCATGCATGAAAATTTCTCTACCACTCAACTGTCATACATGGGCCAGCTCCCCTGTTAAGTATTTGCTATGGATTGCCATCTGTGCAAAGCTCTCACAATGGACAAGTGACACTGAATTTTGGGGTCTATTCATGGAGAAAAACTCTGGTTAGAGGAAAAGTAAAAACTGGTCATTTTGTGGAGTTTGAGTGCCTGGCCTGGAAGTATGCTGGGGATGACAGGGTGAGGGATGGTTGGAGCAGTGTTGGAACCATCCTAGGGAATTGCTATTACAGTTTGGAGAGAGGGGTTTAATCCTTTGGAGGAGATACACTAGCCATGGAGCCACTTGTTTTTTCCAAGTGAACCAGCGATTATGTTTCTGTCTTTAAGCACCATTTCAAGGTGAAGGAGAGAGACAAAGCAGGAATTTGTGGGAAGAACCCAAAGCATTCCTAAACCCTTTTGGCTTAAGCGTTTCTGGCGTCTGCAGCCTTAGATAAACATGGTCGAAAAAGCTTACATGGTTGTACAAATCAAAGTCCTTACCCTGAAAGTAATGCTGGTTGTACCTCCGCTGAATCAGTCTGGTCACTGGAGTTTCCTTGCAGGACTGGTCCACAATTCCTCGCCCATCTGGGTAAACCCATCATCTCTGTTTGCGTCCCCATCAGCCTGTCTCAGATGCAAGTCCTGAAGAAGGACAGAATTGAAGTCAGCCACGGTCAGAATTAAATAAAAATATTGGGTTTCTCCCCACCTCTTTTTGCCTCTTGAAATTACCTTTCAGTTCAGTTCAGTCCCAGACTGAATAATTCAAAGCTGATGGGAAATGGAAGTCACGGTCCATGGAGAGTTAATGGCTACCTAAGAGCAGCAGCAAAAAAAAAAAAGTAGGGGGAAGATTTATCCTTCCCTCACCCCTAAATGCACCTGAGTTGAGAAGAGCAATAAATCAACTGCTCTGTTGATAGTTTCTCTTTCAGAGCAAGCTTATCATTCCATTTTATCCACCTCATCATCTTGTGGACCTACAGACTGGCAACAAATAGGCAGCTCCAGAAAGCCTCGAGTTGACATTAAAGAGAAAAATGTCTCCCATCTCTGTGTTTGTTTATGCACACTGATTCGACTCCAGAGTCATCTGTACAGCATTCCCCTCTTGCCACCCATCTGAAATAAAATAAAAACCAAATAAATCCCAGCAGCCTGACGTTAGGGAAGGCTCAGCAGTCCTGAGCAATGATGCCGGACACAGACTCAGGGGAGCTGACCTGAGAACCTGCCCAGAGAGATTTGTTTCAGCAGCTCCACGGGAGGCATCACCCCCAGCTCCCCCTGCTCACAGATGACTGTGCCCATCCTCTGCTTTTCCCCCAGGATGCGTTGGTGGGAAAGATGAGTGATGAGGACAGAAGGATGTTCCCTCCCCTTCTGCCTCTCGGTTTCCCTCTCTAGCCTCAAATTTTGTCATAACCACTCTTAGACTTGTCTTTTTTATGAATGCAGGAAAAGTGTCCACCTAGCCCTGCATGTTGCCCAGAGCACCACCTGCAGCCTCGCCCCCTCTTTTAGCTCAGGAACTTTTTTGAGACTGATGTATCCTGTGGATTCAGCAGCCCCCAGCGCATCCCCTGTATTCTTTGTAGAGGAAAATTCAGCTCGCTCCAAGCCAAAGCCCTACAGCAACACTAAGCCCTCAAGCTGGCCCTGGTTCTGGCCTTTCATCCCTGTTAGCAACTGCTATCAGCAAAATTAAAAGCAAGGTGCTTCTCCTGGGGATTATAACGTATTTGGAGCTGTGACCTTACATTATGGTTAGCCACACTTGCGAGCCTGTAACTCTTCCTGAGTTACTTCTGTTGTCTCCATTACTGTCGTGCTCATTTGTCCCTCAGGCTCTAACAAACATCTCTGCAAGAGCCTTGCCAGCTGTGAGCTCACCGTGATGGCTGCTTTACGAGGAGGGAGAGAGGACAGGAGCAGAGAGTTGTATTTGGTTGAGGCTGCGCAGGAAATACAAAGCAGAACATAAAACTGAAGCCTGCAAAGTCTCGTCTTAACATCCCATTGCCACGTCATACTGAGGGTAAAAAAAAACAATTGTAAAACTGTCATTTGGAAATCTGCTTATAAATAAATATTCATATATTAAGTAAAACTTTAAAATTGGGATTTTCCTGTGAAGAGCCTAATTTGGTAGGCATTTCTGCAGACACTTGGCTAGGAAGCTACAGGAGACACTTGCCAGTAAATAAGTTTGATGCACTGGGCACATTCTGAATGTAAAGCACCAGGCTGTTCTAGTTTGCTCTATTTTTTTCCCTCCTCATCCTGCTGGGTTGAAGTCACTCACACCTTTTTGGTTTCCGATGTAGTGTTGCTGTAAGAAGTCCCATTGCCTGCTTTGCTACAAGAAGTGCGAACTTTTATCTCCCAGCTGCAAGAGAGCAGTAAATCAGAGCGAGCTGACAGCTTTGTCTCGCAGCCTGTTATCCATAGGCGAGAGGATGCCTCCCCCGAGATCCCATTAGGTGCACTGTCTCCACCACTAAACTTTCAACAAGCACATTGGCAGAGACCTGCATGTCAAAGAGAGTCCGCCAGCTAATGATCACTGGGAATTCACTGTCTCGTGCTCCTTCTCTCCTGCGCCCACCTCTCCTTCCTTTCTTGCTCACACTTTATTCTCAAGTTTATTAAATATAGGCTCCGTTTAGTGAAGTTTCATCACTTAGAGCCCATGTAACTGCTTCTGTTAAACTGATGCTGTGTGTGGTATTGCAAGCAGGAGCAAAGCCTCCTCTGCATGGGCAGTTATAGGACACCATGAGAAGTGACGATAAATCCTATCTTTCTGTTGCTGACACTCAAAAAGAAAGCAAGGCAGAGTGACAGGGTGAAATAACTGGATGCAGCAAACCCTCATTAAGTCTAATAAGCTGCTTGCCTCCCAGGTACAATGCAGCCATCACTCACAGGCACAGGGGGAAGGCACATGTGGAGTTCCTCTCCCCCCCAAAAAATTACAGGCACATCCCCAAGACCATTGATGGGGTGTGCTGGGGAGCTGCAAACTGAAAGAAAAAAAACAAAACACCAAGTTCTTTGGAGAAAGGGAGGCTTCTGCTATTAATAATATACCTGTAGGACACCACTGCCCAAGGCTCCTCAATAAAGGATGTGCAATGGAGCCTTGCTGCACTCACCAGTCCCAACCTTACTGACTGGCTGTCAACCCAGCCTCTGAGGCCCCTTCCTCTCCCCCGTGCTGGAGGACAAGAACAAGATTTGCAAATTGCCCCATGAACCTGAGCAGAGCTGCAGTGGGTGTAGTGGCCCTGTAGCGCCCCGTCTCAGCCACAGCCTCTTCCTGCAGGAGCAAGGATGGAGACCTCTCGCCAGGGAGCAGTTACAAGAGCAGCAGCATGGTGAAGGCAGCAGATCCCATTTGATGACCATCGTGCATGCGGTGAAGATGCTGGAAGTGCTCTCACTCCCTGGGAGGGGAGCACGCCTTGGGAAAAGCACAGCAGGGTACCTAAAAAAGCCGGTGTACTCATGGCAAATGCACCAGCCGTTTCCATCAGTGGATGTGGCACACACAATAGCTAGCACAGTGGATTTCTGTCTGAGAGCTCCTAGCTCAGTAGGGCAGAAGCAGCCCTAGATGAGAAAAGCAGGGCAGGAGGCATTTCAGGACTAAGAAACTAAAACTATGGAAGCCCTTACCAAGGTCAAAACAAAGGTGCCATGAGTAGACGTGAGAAGAAAGGGGGGGAGAAAAAGCTTACAAAGCATTTCCTACTGCTGTTTTCTAAAACGTGAGAAGTTTTAGTCTCTAGGAGCCTGTGGAAAAGAAGTTTTTAGCTATGTCTCTGCTTCCACAAATAGTTTTCTAAAAATACCAGAACCCAGCAATTATCACTGGAATTATTCGATATTTATTGTCATTCACATGCTGATGTAGACAAAAGGCACTTACTAGATGTCAGCCAAACCCTGGACCACTTTTTTTTTTTTTTTTTTTATTCCTCTTTCTGTGCTCTGGATAAGTAGATCAAATGGAAATCTCTATCCCTGCTATATAACTTCCACTGATTAGGCTCAGCAGGTGCAAGACAGACTCCAGAGCACACTCACTCCAAATTTTACTCTCCACTGATTAATCCAACCTGACATCAGTCAAAAACTCACAGAATAGTTTTGGTCCTACATGCACAGCATCATTGCAAGCTAGCAAAAAGTGCATTAACTTTCCTTGTGGGCTTTTGTACATAAGTGCTATCCGCAGAGCCACCATTATGGCAGGGACAAGCCTTGCAGTGGGGGGCTCAGGTCTTAAATCCGAAACTGAGGTTGTGCCCCTTCGCGTGGCACAGCAATGCTGAATGACCCTCCGAGCACTCATTAAAGTAAAGCCCAGCGGATAACAGAGAGAACAAGGCAATTAATCCCTGCTGGAGCCTCCAGAGCCCAGTGAAGAGGAAAGAGCGAGTCAGTAAATGATGCTCCCTCCTGACAACACTTCCTGAGGTTCAGAGCCAGCTCAGAGGTGTCGCTGCATGTGTGCCCCTTTGCAGAGTGCAGACGGGGAGGAAAGCAAAGCCCCGAACATGAGCATGCTCTTCTTCATTGAGATTTATTGCATGCAGGGAGTGGAAATGAGGATGAACCAAGGGGTGCTGAAGAGAGAGAGATGGATGTAAATAAGGCTGTTCTCAGCCAGGCTGGGCTGTCATAGCCCAAAGAGGGGGAAAAAAAAAGTTGTTTTCACATCCGCCTTATGAACCTCGACCAGCTTCATGTGAAGGCTCACACCTGGCAGCGTTTCCCACCCACTTTCCCATCACTTTGCACTGAGATGTGTGGGAACATGGCAGAGACACGCTGGGCTGCTCCCCGAGAAGTGAAACAGCTTGAGAACCATTTTTTCTCAAGTTTAACAGAGGGGAAAAATTATTTTCACCTAACTTGCAGTGACTTCACAGGACAAACAGTCATTGCCTCTGCTGCAGATCCCTGGGGCAGCCTGTCCCAAGGGAGCTGGATTTAGCAGAAGATGCAGGAGGCACGGTAGCTGCAGAGTGCAGTGGTAGCATTGCCTTGCAGCGAATGCAGGAGCCTGTTGCTACATGCTAGCATGAGAAACTAAGCCTCTCCAAGGTGCAAATTGGCTGTGAAGAGCAAAGTGCTCTCTGACTTCTCTGCAGCCTGAAATATCCCCGATATACACGAGGGAGAGCAGGGAGCTATAGAGGAGCCACTGAAACGCAGAGGGAGATGGGTATGTGTGAAATGTTTCTCTTTCTCTGACACAGCAGCTTATTTGAATTAAATTACTTTACTAAACTACTTTTTTACTCCTTGTAGCCGCTCTCCAACCAAACCAACACCCTCAGCCCACAGGAAAGCCCCCACCAGCCATGGACTGCAGGGTGCCCAGATGCCCACGACAGACACACACCTTCCTGAGGAGTTGTACCAAGAGCTCTTTTCCTCAAACCCAACCACTCTGAAGGCACACAGACTTTTCTAGCACAAGCCTGTCCCACCAACACATGAACGAGGTCCCACATGTCCCAGCATCCAATTCCCAAAGCCCTGTGGACTCACCTGGCCTGGTTGGCTTCTCCATGGCCTGCAGTGATGGGGATGAAGCCAATCCTCCAGTGTCATTTTACACTAAAAAA